TTACTCCCCCAATCCCTTGGTTCTTATTTCACTGCATTTCTTCCTTTTTCTTAATGATTGCAATTTTTCCTTTCTTTCCACTAGGAGACTTAACAGAACACAGTTGCCATTCTGCTAAAATGATGGATGAGTGAATGGATGGGTGGATGATGGGTGCGTGCGTGGATGGATGAAGGATAGACGAATACATGATGGATGGATGATGGATGGATGGGTGGATGGATGGATCATGGATGCATGAACAGATGAGTATAGTCATCTTCAACTGAAGGAGCAATGGGCAGTCACTGATGTGCTGGCAGTAGGAGAGGACTGCGATCAGGCTGGGCTTCAGGAAGTGAGTGGTGGGATCACACACTGTTTGGAGCAAAAGGAAATTGCCAGAGCACGGCTGGTTAGGAAGGTGTTGTGGTTGCGGAGGGCTGCCTTAAACGGGGTGCCGGGTGCAAAGCGGAGATGGTACAGAGCACCCACCTCCCTCTCCACTGGCCCGCCTGGCACAGGGCCTCTGGGAAGTCCAGCCAGAGGCCTGAGGGAGGGGGTGGGGGAGTGAGCTGCAGTCCCAAGGGCACTGATGCTCGGTGGGCCTGGCTTATAGTACAAGCGTGGAATCTGCAGTCGCAAAGCCCAGTGCACCCTCTGAACCTCAGTATCTCTATCAGCGAAATGGGAATAAAAATGCAACTAACTTCAGTCGTGGTTGGTGTTTCAGGCGCGGTGCTAGGCACGTTGCCGATGTCCGACTGTTTAGTTCTCACCAGGACTGAATTTCATATTAACCCAGTGAATATGGAAGGTGAGGGCAGGGGCACTCTCCTCAGACAGGAAATGGTGTGGCTGAGGAGAGAACCCTGCGTGGGAACAGTAGTGCCACAGGAGAGGAGGCCGCACACGCTGTGGAACAATGGAGCCATTCCATCACCTCGGCCAAAAGCGTCTCCACCAGGCGTATCACCTTCCTGCCCACGGGATCTTTTGCGAATTTCTTCATTCTTCACTCTGCTTTGGTTTGCACAAACAAGTCAAAACTCGCTTTCCCCGTGGTCACTCGGCAGAAGGTTTCACGGGTGCCGCATTCTTGGTGAGATTGTAACTCCCTGGGGTTTCTAGTGGGCGCGCTGAGGTCTCCCTCATAATGCTCCAGGAATGCTGTGATGGCAGGGATGGAATGCAGCAGCCACCTCAGTTTTTCCCCCCGGAAATAGCAACTTCTTAATGAACATATGCTCTCCCTGCTGGAGCCAGAGCCGGCCAGTGCGGCTGGAAGACTCATTGGAGACTTTTCTGATGAGAGTGGGAGAAATGCAAAGCATCTAAGCTTTCAGCTGGCCGAGGCATTCATTCCTCCTCTCATTTCCCTTGTACTGTTTTCAGTGTCACTTCCGAGTGCGTTCTCAGTGTGCTTTTCAGGAGTCTGATGTGACCCTGCCTAGCCCTGCTCTCTCCACATCACCCGCCTCCATGCAGCCCAAGGCGGGGAGGCACCGGGTCCGAGCCACAGCGTGTGCAAGCAGGAAGCCAGCTTTTCACTTAACGTCTTCTCGGCAACCTTAGTGGGAGTTCAGTGTCTTAGATTTGAAGTGTGTACTGTGAGTTCCCCACTGCAATCAGGACACGGTTCCACCCCCTGAGAGTTCATGCTGCTCATAGCTCGTGCCTGCTGCTACCCCGGTCCGGGCACTGACTGACCCGACGCTACCCCGGTCCGGGCACTGACTGACCCGACGCTACCCCGGTCCGGGCTGTCGGGTAGTTTGGGCTTTTTGTTTATTGTTATTATTAAAGTTTTACGTACAACATTATAATTTGACAACTGTTCAGTACAAAGTGCTCACCCCAAAAGCCTACTTACGATCCATCACCCGACAATCGACCCTTCACCCCTTTCTGCCACCCCCAGCCCTTCCCCTCTGGTAACTGCCCATCTGCTCTCTGTGTCTGGGAACCTGGTTTGGTTTGGTTTGTTTTAGATTCTGCATGTGAGTGAAATCACACAGTTTTGTCTTTCTCCTTCTGTTTTATTTCATTAACATTATATGCTCGAGGTCCATCCATGCTATCACCACTGGCAAGATTTCATTCCTTTTCTGTGATTGAGTAGAATTCCATTGTGTCTCTGTACCACCTCGTTATCCATTCATCCATCGGTGGACACTCAGTTGCTTCCATGTCTTTGCTCTGTGAATAGTGCTGCCATGGACATAGGCGTCCATGTAGCATTTCAAATGAGTGTTTTTGACTTTTTTGGACAAATGCTCAGCCATGGAGCTGCTGGATCAGACGGTAGTTCTGTTCTTAACTTCTTCAGGAACCTCCACACCGTTTTCCCTGGTAGCTGCACCGACTTGCGTTCCCACGAAAAGGCTCCCTTTTCTCCACATCCTCCCCGACACCTGTTCTTTCTTGTCTTTTTGATGATCGTCATGTTAACAGGCGTGAGGGGACATCTCATTGTGGCCGTAACTTGCGTCCCCTGATGATTAGTAATTTTGAACATCTGTTCATGCTGTCGCCATCTGAGGGCTTTGGAATGCTCTGCTCATTTTTAATCAGGTTGTTCGTTTTTCTGTTGTTGAGTTTTTTATGTATTTTGGGCATTAACCCCTGATCGGATGTACCATTTGCAAATATTGTCTCCCGTCCAGTAAGTCGCTGATAATGGTTCCCTTTGCCTCACAGAAGCTTTTGAGTTTGATACAGTCTTATTTGTTTATTTTGAAAGTCAAAATTTTCAATGTGTGGTTTGGGTCGATTTTTATTCTCAGTGGGGAAAATCACTGTTTACATAGTAAATTCTTTTGCATAGGACGCTTAGAAATCCAAGTTCATGTGCAACAGACATGCGGTCAGAGTGCAGGCGTTCCTACAAAACTGTCAGGTCAGTAGATAAAAGGACACGGAATTGAGCTCAAAGCAGTGTTACCCACAGCACAGGGGCAGGTGCCTGCCTCCCTCCCTCCTCTCCTGCCTCCCTCCCTCCTCTCCCGCCTCCCTCCCTCCTCTCCCGCCTCCCTCTGGGTGACCACCATTTGAGCCCCTGTCCCTGATGTGAAAGTGGAGCTTCTAGTTCCACTGAAGTTGGTTCCATCCAAAGGCAGGTGCAGAGAACCACGTGTTCGTTAAGCTGTCGGGCAGCCCAGTGAGGATCGGTCCTTTATCGGTCCTTTATCGGTCCTTTCTAGGAGCAAAGACAGTGAGTGGGCCAGTCTTCAGATCCCTCCGTGCTCTCCTCCCTCCTGCATAGTGACTGGCACTGCGTCCGGGCGAGCGGACAGAGGCCCAGCGCGGCCACAGCTGCTCTGGAGCGCGTGCCTGGTGTTTATAGAGAAGACGGTGGAGCTGCCTCTTCTCTCTCCTCCCATCGCCTCCCCTGTTTGCCAAGGGGCCCAGGAGCCAGGGCTCTCAGAGAAGGTCCAGCCCCTAGGAGCGGGTGCAGCTCTGCATCCTTCTCCTCCTCCCTCCCCCTGCACCCCCCAGCACCTCGCATGCCCACACCCAGCACCACCTAAGTGCGCGCCTCCAGGACACGCCGCCACTCACGCCCCAAGCGCACTCCCTTCCCAGCGCCGGTCCCCTGGGTCCCCTGGGTCCCCTGGGTGTTGGATGGGAAGAGATCAGCCTCAGTGTGGCAGCCCCCTTTTTGGAATGCCTGCCTGCGGACCCTTTGGGTTGAGAGCTCTGGCTATTTGGCAAAGCGAGCGCCATGCCTGGGTCCTTCCATTACCGCACTGGCATGAGCGCTGGCACTGAACCCAGTGGCTCATCAATCCGTGGGGCAGCTTTCCTGGCTGCAGGAGCTCACGTTCTGGGTCGGTTCCGCTGCAGATGTTCTTTTCTGATTGGCTGACTGTGTGTTCTTTGAAGTTAATCTAAACGTGAGTGGTGGGTCTGGTGTGTCTCTAGCACAGAGGGTGCTAATGAAGCTGGGAGGGTGGGGAGGACAGGGCCCGCAGGCAGAGGGACCTCAACTCCCAGATGCTCTGCAGACCTGACCTCTGACCTGAAAGGGCCAGCTGAGCTAGCCTTCCGGCCTGGCGTCTTTTCCTTCCACTCTTTCTCCTTCCCCAGGAAAACACCCAAAAACTTTCAGTCACATGATCTCACTCGTATGTGGAGCCTAATGAGCAAAATAGATCCAGAGACATAGAAGCAAGGAGCAGACTACGGAGTCTCAGAGGGAGGGGGAGGAGGGGCGGGTGGGAAGAGATCAGCCAAAACACTGTGCATGTGTGCGGACCCAGGGACAGACAATGGGGGAAGGCAGGTTAGAAGAGGTCAATGGGGGGGGGGGCATGTAAATACTCTCAACAATAAAGATTATAAATTAATTAATGAAAATAAAAACGTTCCATCTCTGAGTCCCAAAGCCCGACATCCCCTTAATGTTCCTTTCCTCACATCAGACTCCGGTTCCGTGAATGTGTTTGCAGCTCCCTCTGACTTCAGTAGCTGTTAGAAATGATCGGTGTTGCGGGTTCCTCCTCCTCAAATCGCAACGATCGAGTTTTCCAGTGGAAGCCCTGCATTGCACAATCCCCGCTGTGGGATCCAAGTGGGAATCGGGACATTGGCCGGAAAAGTTCAACTGCTGGGGGGGGGCGGGCGCGGGGAGGGGGGAGGAGCTGTATTTCAAAACGAGCTCCACTTCTTTCTTAAAAACAGTTCACTGACCAAGACAGATTTCCAGTGTTTCTCACCCCCACCATCCTCAGGAAATGCCGGCCCCCAGGCTCCCCGAAGCCGGACGCTCTGGACGGAGGCTAATTGCTGTTGACTGCAGGCCTTCCTCCTTTTCTCTGTAACATTTTCCATCTCAAGGGGCGTCCATTCAGCCGGAGTGTGTCCGAGCGTGAATGGAATTACTACCAGTGGAAACTATGCTGCCGGGAGCGGGAGAGAGCAGCTGCAGGCAAAGGCGCAGATTTTCCGTCCTCCGCTCCTCCGCGCAGGGCAGGGCGGTGACTAAGGCTGACGTCACCTCTTTCCAGGAGAGGCTCACACTGTCCCTGTGGCTCAGCCTGCGGCTCCTCGGGGCTCGGGAATCTGCTGCCCCAACCGGATGCGCCCGGAGCCCAGCTTTTTCCCGGGGGCTGGGCCGCCAGCTTTATAAGCGCGGGCTCCAGGGAGAAGCCCAGCCTCTCGAGGAACCTTGCTCTCGCTCTCTCGCTCTCGCTCTCGCTCTCGGGTGCGACCCTGCGTCCCTCGCCCTCCCGGGGAGGAAGCAAGATGCATTTCAGGAACTTTAACTACAGTTTTAGCTCCTTAGTCGCCTGTGTGGCAAACGGTGACATCTTCAGCGACAGTGACACCAGGGTAAGGCTTCTGGTGCGAGTTTTGAGTTTTCAGAGCTTGACGCTGGTTGGGACTGTTCCTTCTTTCCTACTTCCCATCGCTGCGCTGTGAACTGAACTGGCGGGGGCGGGGAATGTGGCTCTCCTGTGGCTTTGGGGTTTTGGAAGTAAATCCAAAATGCTTTGAGCTTAAAAAGCAAGTGTTCGCCCACGGGATGGGCTGGGGAGGGCCTTCCAGAACTCGGTGAAACCAGAGCCCTGCCAGCGCGGGAGGCGGCGTGGGCACCTCTGGCTCTCATTCTGGGCAGACTGTTTGAAGGGAGGGCTGGTGAGGAGCACGCTCGCTGTGGCACCTGGAGTTCAGGAGAATGCGATTTATCTTAGGAATAAGGCTGTGGAGGTGGTTGCGTGTCTGCAGCCACACAAGTCGTAAAGCTGGGAAATAACTCCCAGGGCTGGCGGTGAGCACCGTCGGTCACGTCCGTGGCCGTAACCTTCCCCGGAGGAGATGGGAGGTTTCCGGCAGCACCTGCCGCCCCTCCAGCTCCGCCGTGTGCGCGGAGGAGTTCTCTGTTGCAGCACGTGCTGCTATTAGCCTGTGAGTCAGGCCTGCTTTCCCGTGTGGCACAGGGGCCGGCCGACAGCGACACGGCTGGGCGGGCACTGAGGGACGGGCACTCACAGGAGAGGGCTGGGAGCGGCAGGCTTCACAGATGGCGCGCTCTGGTCCCGAGCCCTGACTTGTCTTCTAAAAATACTCGCCCAGGTCACTCTGCTCAATTATGAATCATAACTTCAGCCCTGCACAGTCACCGTGCCTGTTAATGAGGCCGTGCGGAACTCCCAGTCAGGACACCCGCCCGGGAGCTGCCCACATCAGGACACCCGTGGGAACTGCCCGGCGGGGAGGTGGAGAGAGGCCCTGGCGGCAGTGAGGTCCGGTCAGCGGCACCGCGTGCTCCATGCTTGTCTCTCATTCCTCGCCTCTGCAGTCGCCCCGGGGGAGGTACAGAGGTGTCTGTCACCGAGAGGAGAGCCAGGCAATTCCAGGAGCGAAGTGTGTGAGTTCCCACTCCCGCTTCACAACCGCTGGTGGAGTCTCCCAGTGGCTGGCACGGGGACCTGCCCCAGCCCTGCCATGTGGAGCAGGCACTTGCCCGGGGCCATCCCTGCCCTGTGGCCAGCCCCGAATTGTTCTAGTCAGGGGTCCTCAAACTTTCTAAACAGGGGGCCCGTTCACTACCCTTCAGACCGTTGGAGGGCCGGACTACAGTTTAAAAAAAAACTATGAACAAATTCCTATGCACACTGCACATATCTTATTTTGAAGTAATAAAACAAAACGGGAACAAATACAATATTCGTATTTGCATATGGCCCGCGGGCCACAGTTTGAGGACCCCTGCTCTAGAAGATGCTTTTCTCTCGCATTGGGCATCCCCTCTGCCCTCTGCAGAAGCAGGCGCCTCCCAGAGGTCTCAGGTCCCTGTGGGCCAGCTCTGTCCTGCATCTCCCGTGCGGACAGCAACTGCTCAGCCCAAACACTGCAAGTTCTTCCAGGCCTGACTGTCCACCCGCTCCCTCTCTGGCTGGAATCCTGAGGGGCTGCGGTGGCTGCCCCGCGCTCCCCCCGAAGGACACCCCCAGTGCCACCTCCAGCAGGAGAGGGGGTGGTCTTCTCAGCCTCTCCAGGAGGCCGCTGGCTCTTTGCTGTGCCGTCATCTTCGCTGGCCCCGTCACTGGAGATGCACACGGATGGGCGCAAAGCCTGCGTGTGGGTCGCTGCGGGACCTTGGCTTTTAGGGAAATTGTTTTAGTTCAGAAGCACAGACTGAGTGAGAAAACAATGGGGGAAATTTTTAATCCTCTTCCTTTACAGTAAAAAGTGCAAGACTTATTACCTGGTTTTCCAGGTCAACAAACACGGCTTTCTCAAGTGAGCCGCCTGCGTCTCAGCCCGAAGAGGCTCCGTGGGCACAGCCCGGTCCTGCGCTGCGGGGCAGGGACGGGGTCCCAGGCGGGGCGGTCGCTGGGCCCGGGCCCTGTCAGGCCGGGCAGGGGACGGAGCACACCTCACTCTACGTTACAAACCGCGTTCCTGTGACGCTGAGAAGTGTTGGTTGGTAATTGTCCCGCCGACTGAGTGAGCTTTGTCCGGCCTGGGTTCATCCTTCCTTCTGACGCCATCTGTCTTCTCCCGGGGTTGAGCGAGGTTCCGGGTAAGAACCCGCTTACTCCTACAGAACCGTCCGGAGCGGCTGTCCGGGGTCCGTGAAGGCATTTTAACGCCTTTTATCTTTGCTTCCCAGGCCAAGTTCGAGTCCCTCTTTAGGACCTACGACCAGGACATCACCTTCCAGTACTTCAAGAGCTTCAAGCGCGTCCGGATCAACTTCAGCAGCCACTTGTCTGCCGCCGACGCCCGGCTGCGCCTGCACAAGACCCAGTTCCTCGGGAAGGAGATGAAGCTGTACTTTGCGCAGGTGCGTGGAGCTCATCGGTGCGTGTGCTTCTCCGTCCCCGGCCCTGTCCCCGTCCCCCCACCCGCGCCTCCCCAAGAAAGTAGCCTGGACAGTGATGACGCCCTGCATGGATTTAAATCCGAGACTCCGTCCTGAGAAAGGCGAGCCCATCCTCCAGGTTTCCAGGTCTCCCCTCTCCAGAAAGCGCAGGTTCTGTGACAGTGGCTTCACAGTTGGCCGTGGGTGGAGTGTTGATGGGCAGGTGGCAGCCTGCCCTGGGTGGGCGTGGCCCCGGCCCCCAAGGCTTGGGCAGTAGGTTTCTGAGAATTGGATGGGGGTGCCGCCCACCCCAGGGGCCCGCGCCCGGGTTCTGGGCAGCAGCCAGCGCTGTGGGCCGCGTTTGCTTTGCCTCCTGTTCAGCGCCCTTCCAGTGCCCGGGCCTCCATGGGAAGTGACCGCCTTCAAGGCGGCCCACGAAGTTCCATTCGATGGCTTCTGGGGTGCCACTCCCGGTTAAAGTGAGCCCCGCGGGGAGCGGGGTGCGGGGTGCAGGGTGCAGGGTGCGGGCTGTGTTCCCCAGGCGGAGCAGCCCCTCTAGGGAAGCTTCCTGAGCAGAAAAGGCCAACTCCCTGGACTTTAGAGCGGGCGCCTGCCCCGCCCCGCCCCCTAGTGGTGAGTGGGCGCAGGTTTTCTGAGGTGCCTGGCTGTGAGCTGCTCCTGCTGCCCTGGTGGGTTTCCTGTAAATAACGGCTTAGACCCTCCACAACGCGTTCTGATGGTTCAAGTAAATGCCTGTGCAGATTGGGGGTGGGGGGGACCACCCGATGGTGAGATTTGCTGCTCCGCCCCCGAAGCGCAGGTAGAACTTTTAAGCTCCAATAGGATCAGAGGTGCTTTGATGGTGGGAGCTGGTCCCCGGCCCTGCCTGGTCCTGAAGAATGACGCACCTGTGGTGTGAGGAGCCGGGAGGAGGGCGTCCAGCTCATTCTGACCGGACCCGTTTATACACAGACCGTCTCTGCCCATCCTCCCTCCGCCCCTGAACCCCAGTCCTGGCAGGCTCCCCCAAACCCGAGCCCAGACACCCTTTGGGCCGCTTTCCACGTGGCCGACCTGGCCCTGTCCTCGCACCTGCGTTGGGAGCGGCTTTGCGGCTGCTGCATCGCCCCCCTTTCTCTCCCAGACGCTGCACATCGGGAGCCCCCACCTGGCCCCCCCAAACCCGGACAAGCAGTTTCTGATCTCTCCTCCCGCCTCGCCGCCTGTCGGCTGGAAGCAAGTGGAAGACGCCACCCCCGTCATAAATTACGATCTCTTATACGCCATCTCCAAGCTAGGGCCAGGTGAGCGGGGTCCTCTGGGCCAGGTGAGCGGGGTCCCCCGGGCAAGGTGAGTGGGGTCCCCGGGCCAGGTGAGCGGGGTCCCCCGGGCCAGAAGAACAGGGTCCCAGGGCCAGGTGAGCAGGGTCCCCCAGGCCAGGTGAGCGGGGTCCCCGAACCAGGTGAACAGGGTCCCAGGGCCAGGTGAGCAGGGTCCCCCAGGCCAGGTGAGCGGGGTCCCCGAACCAGGTGAACAGGGTCCCAGGGCCAGGTGAGCAGGGTCCCCCAGGCCAGG